AGGTTTACCGTACTGGCAGCTCAATGTGAACATCAAAATCATTTTTTTTTCTGAGAAGAACTGTAAAATCGAACCACCCATGGAGAAACCAAAGAGGTCAGCCAACTGAGCACGTTCACCAGAGCTCCCTCGCTCTTCCATTGATTCAGGTAATCTTTCTAAGACAAGTCGATCTACTCCTGGGGTTTTTCCAGCATTATAGAAGGTAGAACGGCTTATCCTTCAGGAGCAGAAGGTACAAACAAATGCAGGGAGACAACGACTGCGAGTCAGCCACTGCTTGACGATGCTAGTAGCACGCATTCTGCACTGAGCGCATTCACCTAGGTCATTTTCACATAAACTCCCTCCGTTCCACATGAACCAAGCAGATTCCAGAGTTGATACTACAGGAAGACAAGATGGTGGCAATTCAGCCGACTGTTCACCTCTCCTCAAGAAACAGTAAGCAATATTAAATATTCTTCCATTAACTTTCTATATATCATTTGTTTGACCTAATTCATGATATCCAGAGGATCGTAAAGCCTCTGTGCGCCTGCTTGTTGCAAATGAAACCGTTGAGTCGCTGCAGTGGGGACAGGCACGAGACCTTGTTGTCATGGAGACCGTCTGCTAACGCTCTCACCCGTCGGGAGCGAACCTCAGGTCGTCTCCTCTGTCGCAGGTGATCACTCGTCTCTGTGGACCTTTACGCGCAAAACCCTACTGATACTAATTTTCCCAAATGTCCGATACTCGCAGACATTTTATGACATTTTCATCACGGTACTCTTCTGCCTACACCGTTTTCTCTTCTTTAATTGTAAACTATGTGGCGAACATTGCGCTGATCCTAGAGACTAGACAAACATAAAGATATCCTAAAGCGACCCAAATATGTACCGCAATTACTTTGGTGATTTCTTGACTGCAGAGTAATATTGTCTACGATTCCGTGGTACCTGGCTGCCAATGAACAATGTGTCTTGTGAAATTTTATAGCTTTGTGGGCCAGATGCAGGCATTGCTTTCCTACGGAAGTGCTTCTATGTCTTCTTGATTCAGCCGTTGAATAATTATTAGCAAAATTGAATGCTGAAAGCGAAGCCGGTATTTTATCTCGTCCCCGAAAATAGTACCTTTACAAATCAAAATTTATATATTTCAGAGAAACAAACGTTAAGGCGCTTCATAAGAGATCGAGTTCCTTTTCCAATTTGCAGCTCATGCTCGCCTTTCCCTTTTCTTAGCTGATCAATCATGGGATTTTAAAATCGGCGAATATATAATATATATATATGATATATATATATTATATTATATATTAATACTATATATATTATATATATATATATAATATATATATATATATATTATATATAATATAGTTATATATATATTATATATTATTATATATATATATATATATTATATATATATTATACTATAATATATATTGATATCATTTATCAACTATATATAGTAGTATATAATTATTGATTTTAATGAGTGATCAGAGAGTATATATATATATATAATACATATATGATTTTGATTAATGATTGATCAGACTAAGAAAAGGGAAAGGCGAGCATGAGCTGCAAATTTGAAAGGGAACTCGATCTCTTATGAAGCGCCTTAACGTTTGTTTCTCTGAAAAATTTTAGTCTAATCTAATCACTAAACATAGGTTTTGTTTATTTTTCAAAATCTTCTGAAATACGCACCTCACATCGAGAAACAACTCGTACTCAGAGTCCTATAGAGAGAGGCCGCAAAATCGAGCTCCGTGAGACAGTGGCGCAGGAACTACTGACGTCTTCTTCACGAGCTCACCATCAGCCTCAACGCTACCGAGATTTCTGCGGAGGCTCGATTTTGTGGGATTTAGGCTTTTGTTAACCAGATATTGACACCGATCATCCTCTGCATTAGCGCCGAGCATGATATAGTGGATACAACCAATATGAAGTATCCATTGTAGGACTGCACTTCACATCTACATACATACCATCTATTTTTTCTGTCCTTCTTTGTTTCAATCCTTGGAGTGGCTTGCTTTGCTGCACATTCCACAAAGGCTTCCATCTTTTTCAAATGCAGGAATTCACAAGCTTGCCATGTCTTGAACGATACCGAACACGCGATTTTTACCCGCATTTTACCTAACCACTCATGGGGACAGATGAAGTGTAGTTGAGATATTTTCATTCTAGAGACAATGGCTTTTGGAAGAGATCGAGTTAGTATTCGAAGAGCCACCTCGTCAGTGATTCAAGCATTAAACATTTGATTTAGAGATCGCACACGAGCGGGTCGCGCAGGCATACTGCCAAAACCCCTGCGCTTTCTGGTTCCTGAACCATCTTACACATGATTAGCAATTGATGAAGTAACGGAGGTTGATCTCTGAATAGAAGGCACTTCGCTGTCCGGCTTTTCCCGCTTGATGTTGACTAGAACATATTGAAATCCAGGAAACAATGTTGGCAGTTCAGATGACAATAAGCAGGCGCTTACCCACAACCATTACCTGGACACAACTCGCTTAATTGCTCTCGCGAGTGAACCTGCGCGAGCCATCGAAGCCAAAATAGCCCTGCGGTGGAGCTACGGTAATTTTGAAAATTACTATGTAGCTCACCACGTCCTTTCAAGTGCATGAAATTTCTACGGAAGTGCGCCAGCACTATTCTGATGTGAGCGCTCCCCACCACGTCAATATCCTTTCGCGTTTCAAGTTCTAATTCTAAATGTATCCCAAACAATACTCCTTTAGCGGGCAAGCTCTGCTTGGAAGGACTGCGAAGTTCTGATCAATAATCTCACAATTATTAATTAATTGCAGCCATAACACCAATTATTGCTACAAATTAAAGTCACACAGCGGTAATGGAAGAATGTTGGTATTATTGCAGTCATAATTTATAACGGATAGCATTTATTTCATTTTCATTTCATTTTTTCATTTCATTTATTTATTTGAAACGACGCATAAGGCACTCGTGGGAAATAACGATACATGAGCAACAGTACAGCAATCTTTCCTTACAGATATCCTAGTTATAGCTCAACAAATTTTTCTTAGCGAGGCGTTTGAAAAGCACAAACGTTGGAGTGACCAGTGCCACATTAGATTTGAGAGAAGCATATATGTATAGCATCCACACGACAGGTGAAACTATAGAGCCTCACATTAGTTCTTGGCGTTGCATATGAAATTTTCTCAGGCCCTCCTCTGGTTCTAGATGCCTTGACATAAAATTCGGATGCATCAACTCGGGCAATTCCGGACTACATAAACACCATACAAGCGTCATAAACTTTTCTACGAGATCTCAAACTATGCAATTAGTAACTTCTATTTCTAGAATTCGGTTGAGGCACACGAGCGTAAGTAGCATCACCAGCCCTAATAAATAGTTTTCGAGTGAAATTATTTTTTTTTGAAATTTCTACAGCAAACTTCTTCATTCCAGTTTTCCGCGATTCCTGAATGAAACCCCTCGATTTTTGAAAAGCTAAGAAGTTTCTGAAATCAGAACGACAACACTTCCGATTCTGTCTGCACGCAGCAGGGCCAACTCTCACAGTGATTTTCAAAATCGTGCAACCGTATTGTGATCACTCTACGGCCTCCACCACCAACTCTTTCCGTGGAATTTATTTATAATACAACCTAGTGACACACTCCAGATCCTTGCCAAACTTTCTCACCACCCCCCCCCTCCCAGAGCTGCAGTCCACCGTTGAGCGGGGAAGGTCGAGTCGACGGTGCGCGGAGGTGGAGAGTCGTCTGGTTTGACGACAAAAATCTCCCATTAAAGCAACTAGAAACTCCTGAATCGGCGGCGGCGAGAATTCCGTTCGCTGAAAGCCCGATGATTTCGAGCAGTATTAGTGCTTTGGGCAACCCTCCTTTAGTTTTTATCGATAAAATCATAGAAATCAATGCGAAGATACATCCTGAGAAGGTCCTCAGGAAATCTCTCGTGCTTTGGAAGCAAGTCACAACAGTAGCGTCTTTCTTCGTTTATGAACAAAAAATAAAGTCATTATATTTTTCGTGGCGCACGTAAATTTTTGCCACCCTGTATAGCAGAAAGAACGGGAATGTTTCGCTTGACAACTCAACGGAATATTCTGTGCTCCTTAGTTCATCTTATAAATAGTCATATACGAGCTGCAATCATGCGTTTATTATTTGTAAGTCAACAAACGCTGCTTTGACTTGTTTGTTCTATTGAAGTGTAGAGATTTGTTTGGCTTTAAAAATACGAGATGACTCTCCGAGTATTCATAGAATTATCAATCAAGCGATAACCCGTACCGTAGTAGTAGAGATGGTCGATTCATCCAGTGTCGAGATTTAATCTCTAACTAAGAAAGAAAAACCACTATAAACAAAACAAACACGGTTCCTTTCGCTCCTTCCTCAGAGGAACCATTTCGTCCATCATTGAGTAGGGATTGGCGAAATAAAGACACAAGGGAAAGACGAATAAATCTTGAATTAGTGAACAAAATAAGTATAAATTTTTCTAGGCGGTCAATAGCAACTTTCCATTACTCTTATCGAGAACTAGCTCTATCCAGACTTAAACCCTTTCTTGTACAACAACTCTCACAACTGCGAGTCAGAGGAAACATCGATAACGACTTAATCAGCTAGGCCATAAGAAGAATGCCACAAACCCTCCAAGTGGAAGTGGTGAGGGGAAGGAGTTCTTTGCAAGTGCACTTTCTGTCCATGGCCATTTAACGACACGTGCCCGTTGTGCAGGAACAATAATGCGTATGAATTCTCTCCTAATCGCCTTCACTTTTCACCATCTTGGGTGGACTTAAACCTAGTCGCAAAACTCGATTAATAGCATGAACAGTACGAGTGATGACCGTTCGCGCTTCTTGAGCGGAATTTCTGAAGGAATCGACTCTACTCATCCGTAAATTGTTCACCATCTTGGAATTTATCGTTCACTGCTTATATGCTCAAACTCCAGGATAGGATCACAGTCATGAACTCATTGCTGGATCCTTTGCGTCTTCGGCCGGACCGTCTTCCGTCACCGGCGTTTATGCCCCGGGACGACGACTATGCTGAACTCCTGCGCAGCAATGACTTCGACGTCCGACTTCAGGTTAGTAATGTCTTTCAGAGAAGCTTACGAGCTAACCCTGAGAACAGTTAAGGAAACCGCTACCATAATTCCGTTTGGAAATGTACCGTGAAGAAACACTTCGAGCTAAAGTAAAAGTTTTTTGGAGGAAAACGCGAGCATTTTCCAAATGCTCTCTTGTATTTATTCACACCTACTTATGCGTTCAAACTGACAATTCATTACAACCTTGGAGAGGAATATAAGAATAGGCAACCCCACTTCCTGCGTGCTCTCTATTAGGTTGTCTCATAAGTAGTGTCGCTTTCCTTCAAACCGAAAACTTTCTCCTAAATCCCCATGCTTTTACACCGTCATTTACCGTTCAAAAGAGAATTGCCTGCATTCAAGATGCTATGTTTCTCTTCTACCGTTGATGCAGGGTTTTTAAATTTTAGGCGAAATGAGAGGTCTATCCGACGAAAATTAGTAAAACCAACGAGTAGCTCTAACTTTATCTTCCCTCAGGAGGTATCAATTAATTAGATACTCTCTACTTACACATGACCTCCATTCTACTATTAAGTTCTTTGAGAAATCGCGTCGCTCCTTTTCCAGACCTGGTTTTTCAACCCGAACTCGAAGGTAGAGCACGATTACTTGAGATGTTCAAAATTTTTGTACGGCCGCGAAATTTAAAAAAAAATTTCAATGTAATGCGGTCAGCTGCGTGGACAAAAACACCTTTCTGCGCGAACCTGAAATTCGAACTAATTCACAACAAATTTGGAAACAAAACAGATGGGCGAACAGAGCAGAAGTGGTGCTCACAAAAGAAACACCACTTGACATAAAACAACGGCGTTTTAGAAGAAGAATTTCAATTTAAAAATTCCTATGGCTTATCGTCGGTAACCTAAGAGTGGATTGTTTGGGAGAGGTCATGGGCAAGTAGAGGATACATCACTGATTGACTTCTCCCAAGGAAAGATAAAGTTAGAGCTACTCGTCGGTTTGGCAATTTTTCCTCGACTAGACCTCATTTCGCAGGGCTAAAATTTGAAAACTCTGCAACAACGGTGGAAGAGAAACATAGTATCTTGAATGCAGGCAATTCTCTTTGAACGGTATATGGCATGCTGTAAGAGCATGGGGATTTAGAAGAAACTTTTTAGTTTGAAAAAAGCGACACTACTTATGAGGCAACGAATAATTCGTTGATTTCCCCTCCGCTTCGAAACTTTGAGAAAATGCCGAGCATCGCTCACTTTTTTCTACTGCCACTATCATAAAATATAGAGGCTAAAGGTCCGAAGAAGAATCTAAATTTTTTTTGATTGTGTCTTATTGTACAGAGCTTCTTATCTTATCCTTACTATTTTTACCCCTCTCCTCTTCGCGAAAAGACTCAGCGATCGATGTTAATCGAAGCTGTTTCTTCTAGAACTTGGGATGATGAGCTCTTGGTAACTAATAGTAATGATTCACCGCAGCATAGCCGAGTAGTCGCACATCTATGCGTAGGCATATACTAACCGCAGTACGCCTCTGCGGATTTTGGGGCCGGGCTCAACCTTGACTTTATTAAGGGTATGACTTCGACCAAGTAATTTCGCCTTTCCGATTTTCTTTGATGTTTTCAGACACTCAACCGGCTGGCCGGTCTATCGCGACGTGACGCCGACTGGTTCACCCACTGTGCTCGAAAAGGCGAATTCTTTAAAAATATTGATCGAATATTATCGGACGATCGATGGGAAGTGCAGCATCAGTGCATCAAATTTCTTTATGAAGCAATGCCCACATTTGGGTCGGTGAGTCGGCTTGTGCTATGACCTTGTAAGAGCCACGACAGGGATACGGTCTGAAGGCATCGCTTTGGACGACTTCACCCACGATTAGGGTCAAGCGAACCGTACCGGAAAAATTGGAAATACGACCCCCCTCCCTCGCTCCCTCGGAGGCCGAAGTCCATGAAACGACCCTTTTAAGAAGCCAAACTATGAAAAGGTTGTTTGATTCTCCTCCAAAAACTCTTCATAAAAGAGCCCTGTACCCCACCGTCAACCGAAAATTCGTTTAAGAAGAACCAAAGTGAAGAAGTCAAAGACTGATCATTAATGATGAGTCCTACCAAACGACCAAACGAGAAAAGGAGCAAAAAACGACAAACTAGTCACCAAAAATGGCATATTATGACAACATCTCTTCTTTATTCATTTTCTTCGCAAGCCTTGCCAAATTCCAGTACTACACAGACTATGGTTCTCAAGTTACAAGTCCCCTTGCAGTTGAATTAAGCCTTGTAACCGCCCTAGCCAGCTGGGTGTTGACGGATCGTTTGCGTTGGCCTTGGAACAACTCATCTACTATTGAAATTTGAACCCATGTTCGAATGACTGTAACTTTCTTCAAATAATAAAATAAAAATAATAGTACTAATAATACTAATTTTCAATCTGAAAGCAGATTTGAGAACTTTGTGAAGAGATCTTTCTAATCATTGTTGAAATTAGAAAATTTTCTAAGAAATAAAAGATTTAGATTAATTAACAAGGAAAATTCAAGATGAGCACGAGTTTTACACTTTAAATCATAACTTGCTTCATTTCCATCAAATCTGAAAAGTTTATATAGCACACAAAAGTAGAAGATTTTCTCCATCGAGCGCTTACTAAAGCAGCTTTATACATCCAGTGTTCAAAAAATGGCCACGTCGAGAATTTTTGCAAAATTCGAGAGGAAAATTCGTGATGAGTGCGAGTTTTTACGCTTTCCAAAGCCATAACTCCGTTCAAACTCATGCAATTCGAAAAGTTAATATGTCATCATATACTAGAAGATTTACTCTATTCAACGGTTGCTAAACTACCAAATATGTCCACTATCAAAAAAATGGCTATGTAGAAGATTTTTGTCCGAGTACCGCCACAAGGTACTTTTTCGCTGCAATGGCACAATTTCATCGACTATAGCTGCTTTCAGGGGCGATTTTTGCGAAAGTGGGAGCAGCTTTGAGTTCCTCGTGCTATTCTCTTTTCAAAAAATGTGAAAGTATTCAGCGTGTCTCAACTTTGACGATTTTCTTGTGAATTTAACGCCGAAGGCTGCATTTCTTGTTGAATAGAGGTCCTCCGTGTAATTGGGCACGGACACTTTCAGAATCCTCTTGATTTTTCCTTAATTGAGATTCTTTCTCCAGACGTAGTTGAAGCGCGCGCAAACATGTTGGCCCACTCTGGGATGCGCCGTATGCTTCACCCCCCTTCAAACTCGAGGACTCATTTGAAAGATAAAAGATAAAATATCCTTTGGAAAACGTACGGATTTCGGACTTCTTTATCGATTCGATCTTTAAAGTTTCTTCTCCGTCTGTAATGATCCTCCTGCATCAATCCGGCCCGATCTATTCCTACCAGCCGGCCAATACGACCCCCCCCCCATACGGATTCCTCAACACACGCTTGACCCTGCCCACGACTCAACCGCTGTTTTGTGCCAGTGGGGCTAAGGCACTCATCTGCTACGGACCTTCTGGAGAACTAACCGAGCTAAATATGGATGCGCCTGACAAACTATACATGAGCTCTTTCCTGGAAGGAAAACGCATCCTTCAGTTGTACAATTAGATGGCCGGCCTCGCAACTATACATACGATTTCCCTTCAGCTGAGACGATTTCCCTTCAGGTGAGACGAACTAGGTCAATGGCTTGAAAAGTAATCCCTAATGTCGAAGATGATGATTTCTGGCTGAAACTGCTGCGAGCGAATTTCAGAACCTCGAGTACTGCATCTGCTACCTGATGCCAAATCTGCTCCCAAAACTAGGAAGTTCAAAAATTACTGTCAGAAAAATCTCTATACAAGCGGTACAAGCATTTCTACGACTGCAGCCGGAAGCTCTTGGATCAATGCTGGTAAGCATTTTGAACCATTCCCTTCTTCCTCCTGTTTTCAAATTGGAAGTTCGATTGCAGAAAACGTTGTCCAATTTTTTGCTCACATCCGCGGAGCGGACCACGAAAACTGAGGTGGTGCGAGAGTTCCCGGCCATGTTTCTTCCTGAGGTAAGCTGTTCTGGGCTTTCAAGGTGACACATTTTGCCGAAAAATGCTTGAGCACTTTATACTCGCGTATTCATTTCCTAGTGGATTCTCTAAGCATTCTCTTAATTGTTCATGCTTCAGTTGTTGAACAGCGATTGGTCGAATCTTCTCGATGCCCTGACGAGACTGATGGCAACTTCGGACGGAGAGATGGCCGAAAATGCGGCTATCACTGCCAAGAAACTGGAAGGTACGCCTCCTACTCGCTTCTCCCATGGCTCCCATTTCCTACTTTTCAGTCTACCTCGGAAGGGTCACTTTTGAGCGCATTTTGTTATCGCCTACCGTCAACCCAACAAAAGGATTACGTCCGCTTCAGCAAGAATGTTGTCTTGGCTCCAGTAGGTCCTGTGACAAATGGTGAGTTTTGGTCTTCATCCTGATCCTTCGCGTTTTGCGTATAGAGAGTGTTTTTCAGTGCCTTCACAAGTGGTAACCAGGAACACCTTCAAACTGGCGTCCGGAGAGAGGCGTTTCCGCTTCGGCATCGTGCCGTCCGTCATCGCCGCCATGGTCATCGACAACACCGACGCGGTCACCAGGATATCAGGGCTAGAGAAGGTAGCGAAAACTTTTCTAGGTGTAGAGTCCAAGTGAAAATGGAATTTTTAGTGGAAGCAGTTGATCGAAAACATCACAAACGAGGAGATTTCTCGTCTCGTGCCTCATCTGCACTCGTACCTCATATCGCTCAGCAACGTACTCACCGAACTCAACTTTAAGGTTTGCTCCTATGCAGATCGCCAGGCTTGATTTTAAACAACAAAAACGGGATAGTCAAGTATTAGAACTCATGGCAAACGACACATTTCGACAAGAAGTAGTTTGACGCAGACCCCTCAACTATATTTCAGATACCAACAATGAACCCATTCGATTCGTAATACTCTGAAACAATGCCGTGCAACAACGAGAAAAGCTACATGAGAATTTTTTTGCGCTTTTTTTGACTTTTGAGCCTCCATTCGTTTTTTATATCGTCGTAGCCGGTCATTGAGCTACGGCTGATCATAATGCTCCCCAGCGAATCTGCACACCACTTCGAAGAAGAAGGGCTCCTGTGGCGGGACAGTTCCGTGCAGTAGGCAGCTGTTTCGCTACAGGAATCCGTCGAGAAAATGTTGGCGTGCATGCTTAACCGCAAACTCGTAGTTGCTCTAGCGGTAGGTCAATCTGATGAATGGTAACTGCTAATGGTACACATCTCACTCGGTAAAATTGTCGGTTAGTGAGAAGGAGAAACCGGGACCGCACTGTACCACTTCCTTGAATAGGTAGAGTCGTAGAAAAGGTGACTTTGGCAGGGATAGCCGAGTGGTTAAGAGGTTAGGCTCATGTCTGCACCTCCGAAAGCTGCGATTCGATCCCTGCCAAGGCTCTAACTGACCTTTGCAAAATATGCAAATATGGTTCTAGTCCAGCGTCAGCCAGGTTGACAGGCGCTGATGAATACCGTAGACCACCAACATGTTGCTCAAAATGTCAACGTATCAAGCTTATAATAAGTAGACGTCACCGGAGGGGGCCGAACACCGCCCGATTCGTTGGTCAGTATGGGAGGCGTACAGAGGAGTGACAGCTCGGCCAAAGAAACTAGTTGAATAGGGGACTCTTACGTGGGATCTCGCTAACTGGAAATCGAGAGGTGTTGATGACCTGGAATGACGCGCAGAATATACCAATCTCTGCTTCAGGAGGAACGCGATGGAACGGTGTAAAAGTGCCAGGGAATCGGGAAGTGTCGAAGCTCTATTACAAGGGAGAAGACACCAAGCCGGAACGGGGCCTAGCGGATAGCGGTAGTCGTTCAAGGATATGTCTCCGCTGTGACAAAGATCAGCACTCGGATCATGGCTGGAGGCATGACACGAAGAGGAGTACGGTCAATCTCATCCGTGTCGCCACTGCAAGCGGGTGCTCGAATAGGATAAGACGACTATCTAAGCTGGACGAAGCCTAAGGTCGGGTTCCGGAGCGATTACTGATCATGCGTGATCTGAATGGCATCTTCTGGCAGTTATAGAAAAGAGCTAGAGAGGTGCAACGGCAGCGAGCGATAGGATCGACGAACGCTGAGGACGAGAAGTTCTACTGGCTACGCACGACTTTGGCATCTGCAGCACGTTCTTCGCGAAAGAAGTCCAAGAAACTAACACAGTTGGGAGGCAGACGGAATTGACCATGTTGCTGTTGATAAGATCACCCTTATAACTGTGAAGTATATCAAAGTCTACCCGGGAAGACCTGGTCACACAGCCAGGCCCACTTCTGAGAGATATCTGATTATGACTCCCAAGAAGACAAAAGTAAACGAAGAGATCAGTTTGTGGGAGCACGCATCAAGCCGAGTATAGGATGACTCAGCGAAGATACTGGAAGTGTCTCCCAGAGTCTAACGGCACGTACAATGGATTGGAGCAGCTGCTGAGACATCTGCGATGTGGCAAGAGCGCCTGGGGAGACGCAAGAGAGGGATCAGAGGAAGACAATAGGTCCCAGTTTCTGAACGAGGAGGTTTTCTCCCCAGCGAATGTGTGATGAGAGGAAGAAGGAAGCAATACAAAACGCTGGCAGAGAGCCGAAGCTGCTGAGAACTTTCGCTGCCTACAAAACCTTCAAGGAGCGTTTGCGAGCTTGCCTCCAAGGCAGAACACAGAGAAATATGGCGCCCTGTTACGAGAAGTCTGGAGAGCGAACCATGAAAGTTCGTCTTCAGGTGGCTAAGGCCCTAGGCATTTATTACCCAAACTCAAGGTTGTGTGAAAAGTGTAGATATTCAGAGATGGTGGCATGCCTAAGGAAAGCAGCGAATCAAAGGAGGTGGGAGAGTACTACATGCATTCTAAACGATAGTTCCCTACGAGAACAATTACGGCAGAGCTTCAAGTCGGGTCCCATCGCACTCTGGATGAAGATGAATTAGTGTGCACTTGGGAGGAATGAAGATTTGGAGCGGTTGGCTCGCGATTTGGGGGCCAGATCGAGGCTTTGGAAGGCGCATCGGTTGGAGTACGAGAACAGAAGATGCTTACCACGATTCCTTCAATCACATAAACTGCGAAAGGAAGGATGCCAGTATGCCTGGAGAACAGATTACTATTGTTCCCAATACTGCAAGCAGAAGGGTGAAGCGAGGACTGCTCAACTAACGCAGGATCAAGTTTGACTGCCTCATTACAATGAAGCTGAGCGAGCGACTGCGTCGATCCAGACTGATATGCAGTGGGGAACTGGTCCCGATCTCCAGAACAGTTCGCTTCATGCCCAAAGTATCGACGACGGAGCCATCTTCCATCGCAAAGAAAAGTGATGGAAAAGTATCGAGAAAACGATCGACCATGATTACCTAGCCTTCTGACTTGGGAGAAGGTGTTCGACGGCTACCCGAGCGGTCTGCTGGAGAGCGCTTTTAGGAGAACGGAACGTGCCAAAAACCTGGTTCGCTGGTGAAGAGCATGTACGACGCGCTAAGGACAATATCTACCAAATGGCTAACGAAGAGGTAACACATCACTTTGGTACATCCAACGAGTCAGCTACTGCAGTCCTTCCTTTCCTCCTAACACTAGATGTTCAATGTGAAGGGGCGTAAGAAGGCACTAAAAGACATCCTCCTACGCTGACGACATCGCCTATAGCTGAATGCAGAGAAGAACTACAGCGGCCAAGGTGCAGAAGTGAAGAAACTCTGACAGAAGGTGGGCTCCGGCCTAATGTCAAGAAGACCAAGTATCACTTAGCCTCGAAAGAGAGTACCAGAGCTATCGTGGATGAAATGGCAAAAAGAGCGGAAGAAGTAGAGATTCTAGACTTCCGTTACTTTGGGAGTATCTGGCGGGCCGGACGCCAGTGGGACCAGGGACAGTAGTAAAAGGGGGAGATCAAGCGCGTGCCATGTATAAATGGAGGGAATGCACTGGATCCTCTGCGACCGAAGGTGTCTCTAGCAACGTCAAAGGAAGATGTACGATACAGTGGGTTAGGCCTGCGATGCTCTTAGCTCGCGAGTGCTGGGCCTGAACAAGAACACGAAAGGCAGCTTCACTCGGACCGAAATTGGACTGCTGAGTGGGCCTGCGTCTGGGAACGCCGACTGACGGGTCAGAACGATGATGGATAAGATGATCGTCAGAACGTTCATGCAGACTGCTCCACTTCAGACTGAAAGTCGAGGTAGCAGCGACTGCGTGTATGGGCAATGTGCTAAGAAAGACCACACATTGCATCCAATAAGGATGCAATGGACTTTAAGCGCAAGGCAACGTACCGAGGCCCCAAAGAAGAGGTGGAAGGACGTAGTCAAGAAGGACCTAAGCGAAATCATGGCCACTGCAGGGGATGCCCTGGACAGAGCGAAGTGGCGACGACTGATAAGAACAGCGGACCCTGCGACGGCGCGGGACTAACGCTAGGGAGAAGAAGAAGAAGAAGTAGAAAAGGTGACTTTGAGGCCACAATCTTTTTACTAAAATGAATGGTTCTTGAGAAGATCGAAAACGGGAACTGGACTGCATCGTTTTGCAACCCCACCACAAACATCGTACGAACAGTCCGTCCCACAGTATCGTGCACCACCCTCGAAGTAACCTCAACAACACAAATGGGAATTATAAGGACTGGTCATCAGGAATCCAAACAGTCCGATGCTGCTGTGTGAACAGAGTGATACGTTTATGTTACAATAAGTTTAACCCATTGAAGACTGCGAGCCCGCCGGCGGACCACACTTTCACACGAAGGAGATTCATTGTTTGCCATGTTTTTCGTTCCCGAATTTCTGTACATCATTGGCTTCAAAAAACACGACATTCTTAATTTATAATGAAACTAATTTAGAGTTTACGATTCTTGACGAAAAAAAGATGTCGTAGCGGAACATATGCATAGGTTGTCTAATAAGTAGTTTTTCTTGAATGTGGATTCCTCCTCTGAGATCTCTTGTTTTCACATAATTCAAACACAAACATTCGAAACAGAATTGTCTGCCCTGCGAAGCACATTGCACCACTTCTATATGGAAATCCACCAAACTACAGATTTGCAAAAAGGGAGGTTCAGTAGGCGAAAAGGAGCGTGACAATGAGCTCGAGCTCTACGTCCACCGAAACGACCAACAGCAGGTATCCTGTACTTACCATGAGTCACAACCCCTTCCCAACTTTTCACTGTCGACTTCAACAGGACGTATCGTTCCTTTTGAAATTTCACTTTCTCACTGTACCGCTACGGCTTCCTCAAACCAAAGTTTCTTCTTTTTAGATACTTCCTCATTTTCTCCTTATTTCATTTATCATCCAAAAGTACTTTTTCGCTAATTGATTGCGTTGTTTTTCTCTTCATTATGATTCTGGTAGAAACTGAGAAATATGTATAAGGTGCCCAGTCAGTGGAAATGACAAGACTACTTCCAAAAAAATTTCCCCAAAAATAACGAAAAATCGGTCAGAGATGTGCCCCGTACTCATTTGCATTTGACTGTAAACGTCCGGTGAGTATTTCAATGTCTTGGCGTAAAACTTAAAAGTTCGGATTAGGCGTGGTATCGGTTAACCATCGACTTCCGGCTGGGTAACCACATACCAGAAAAAAGGCACGGCTTGTTGGAAGTCCAGTAGTGAAATGTCAAGCAGAGGTTGTAACTAGTGCCTGGTACAGCAGTGATTCGTTTCTTCGGGAGGAACATAGAGTTCGCCGGGTTGGCTACTTTCCGCCTACTGAACCTCACTTTTGAGAGTCTGTAATTCGGTAAGTTTCCATTAAACATAGAAGTGGTACTATATATTCTGTAGAGAGGTCAGTGCTCCTTCGAGAGATGTATAAAGTCACGCAACTGTAGATTCCAGGGAAAAAGTCCACTTGAAAGAGAAACAGTACTCATTGGACAACTCAATACAACTGTGATAGTGAATAAGTGAAGCATCTCGGATCGTTGGGCCTGGGATAAGCTGGGTGGTGGTGGAGCGAGGAGGCGAGCGCCTCAAGTCATTGTGCACTATCACGTCTAAAATTTACTGAGAACCTGCATTTCGGCGATCTGAACCACTCAAGAAAAACGCAACTTGCAAGCGGATTTCCAAAAAAATTCTCGGCGAAGATAAAAAATATAAAAGAACAACAAATTTTAGCATTGCTCTCTCCACGACTTTCGGTCTGAATGTGCAATAACAATCAAAGGGTTGCACAGTATTACAGAAGCTTTTTCAAAATTTTATAAGCCTTATTGTTATTATTATTTTTATTATAATAATAATAGTGCATTTATCATGCCTGAAGGAGGTCAACTAAGTTGTATATTGAGTTTTACTTTTACTTTATTTTTTTCCAACTGAAACCATACTAACAGATTAACCTGCTGCCACTCACCAATATGAACTGTTGCCGTAATGCTAGGGTCTGGGTACCAATACTCCAATTACCCTCAGAGGAATTCTGCTCAGAAAAATTCATGCTGTCGCACCCATAAATCACTGGCGACTCGTTCACGACAATAACGAGCAGAACAAAAAATTTCATTTGCTCTTGTAAAAAAATTCGAAAAACTAGAAGGACTGTCACGCGTTCCAATCCCCGCCATTCATATGTCACACATGCTGGCGGCGTCAAAAGGTCAAAAGAGTCCTTAGTGACGGCACACCACGTCACTAGGGACCAGGGTCAACCCTACGTTAACAACGGGGGGAGTCGTGCTAAGTTAAGCGGAGGGGGGTCGTACTCTCTCGGTGGCCGGCAGTGGGATTCTTGGTAATATTGGATAATAGCCAGCACGTTACGTTTTTGTAAGATGACTGATACTAGAGCATCTATGAACCACGCTTCCCTCTAAATGAGCTCTCCAATGAATTAGCGAATTAGATGGGCGCGCGAAGCGTGGCGCGCACCAAGGCAAGGGATGTAGTGCAAACGCATGCTCGAAGCTTTCTAGCACAGTCTAAGTTAAACATTACATTGATCTTCCAACAAGTTACGGGCAGTGAAACCTAGGAAAACCCGCGTTTTCAGGAAAATGGCTTGAAAATACCCCTCAAAAAAAGGAACAACGGGGCTAATTTTTGAACTGCTGACTTTCCAGGGATGTTTTGGTGCTCATAAGAAAGCATGAATCCTGTAGTTTGTCATACCGTGTTCGTCTTCCCAAATGAGTGACACTGAAGGAAATTATGATTGTTTGAAGGTAGAAAAGTCGCATTTGCACAGAAGAAAGTAACAACGTACTATATTTTTATTAAATTAACTTTTGAAGAATTTTTACACACGTTTGGAGAGAGAATAATTTGAATTTTCCAAATCAAATCACTTCGGTGCAGAAGCTCGAATATGAAGGAAGTTATAAGCTTAGAAAGAGGGGTGTAAAAACTATGTTGCAATTGAAGAACGTGAAGGATTTCAGTATTTCAATTGGAGCGATAATTTTTTCTCACTTCTCATAGGTTTTTATCAGGTAATATTGTCAACAACCCGGTCACTGGTGCAGTTTATTTCATCTCCTAGTTTGGTAACCCTTTAGAGTATACAGATATCTTTGAATGCATCTCTTTTTTTTCGTGTTTGGAAGCAGCGATGAATATCTGTCGTGGATTTTGCTAGAGTTTCATCTTTGATGCCTTACGTAGAAATATACTGATGGTAAACACTGTCTCTACACAAGTGTCACGTACAAGGGGGTCATAGCATTTCCATATAGCATGGTTTTCGTATGTTTTCTCTTTGGAAACTGAATCTTCATGCGAGACACTATGTATGTTGTCTCTAGTGATCACAACTGACGTATTCATGGAAAGAATGTAAGGTTTTTTTTGGGAAAGATTCCTTTGAATAGTGTAGGCGTGTTACGATTGTACCGTCGCAAATATCGCACTCACCCCGCAGTGCCGAAAAGTTTTTGAGTCTTTCTTAATAATGATTCGAAACTCACATTATTGTTATACACTTAGAATAGCAAATTAATAAATGAAGTAGCTTCCAACTTCAGTGAGGATTCCTTCATACCGTGCGTTTTGAACAGTATGAAGGCACTGTTCCTAGTTAAGATAAAGGCTCCACGGTTTGCAACGTCACTGATAGAATTCAGCGTGCTATAAAACTATAGTTCACTTCATCCCGGAACGAAATCTAAGCTGCAAACATCTTTAGAGGAAAACGAAAATGCCCCTCTTTAATAAAAGAACAAAGGCATTCTGGTCAAGAGGACTTCAACCGAAAATTTTCTCGGCCTGACAACAAATTTGCGATTCTGTGGGCATGCTTAATGAAACCATGCTGCCTCCTTCATGTGTCTGGACGACTTTAGCTTTCTACAGAAGAACGGTACCCAAACGGTGCAGCAACGTCGTGGCAGTACAACTGAGGTCTTCCACAATACGTATCTGCTTTCCACCGTGGATCTCCCATACAATAGTTCTCTAAGTTTTTTGTATTTAGGTGCGAATTGCATGTGAACCTAAAACATTGGTTTCTTTGATGCTAAGCTGCTGCTACCGAACCTGCAGCAGTGCACGGCATTGTCGTAGATGATAATCAAATTGAACCGGCGATCTTTACTCAAGAATGATAAGTAATATTATCAGAGACATCCTCGGTCACCTTGATGAAAGTCCCTGCTTATCCAGTCAAATCAGCTGTTGAATCCCACTGCGTTCTCATGTTCCTCCAGCTGATTCGAGGCAAGCTGTTCTGGGGTGCCCGCCCAATCATGGAGCCTTTATCATACTCTCCCAGAATACTTGGAGTTAAGATGGCATTTTCCCAGATGGTAATTCTTAATGTCGAAGGCTAAGACTCGAGCCCGACCTGGTTGACTAGCGAGGCGCAGCTGGAAACAGTTGCTGGATGTGAAGTAGTTCGTGCTCAGATTATATGTAGCGTGGGTTCGACTCCCCCTGCGGCGAAGTGTCTTGCCCATAGCTAGCATCCGCGTGACGAGTTTCGCATGGCGCAGTGCGGCTAAGCAGCCGTTAACAAGCAGAAGTGAGATGTATAGAATTTTTCAACATGATTAGGCTCTCAATTATAATTCGCCGCTCGAAACTTGAAAGCCACAGAGAATCTGGTGCCTTACTGACCTCGTTACAGGTGATAGTGCTAGCACTGGATGTGGTTCGGTTGACGGTGAATCGTCTCAAAGCTAACATGGAGGCTCACTTGCAGGTCGGCACGTCTCTTGCAATAACTGGCTTTTCACTCTGAGTGATCTCCGAATTCGGGAGATTCGCTTCTTCAAAAACGATACACCCATTTGTTTCAGCAAGTGGTCTCGCTCCTCGCTCAGCACTTTGGCAATCAGAAGGCTGTGATCAAGCAGTTGATCATGATGACCTGCATGGATCTGTTCCAGAACATTAACCCGAAAACCGTTGTTGGCGCGCTTTGCGTATATCTGGAGAACCGTAATTCAAGAGTTAGGGAAGAGGTATGACCTTCGATTTACGAAATCGTCCACAAAAACCAAAAGAGAAGTCAAAAGTGGCGACACGTTCTGCCCCTGAAATTCGCGGAGGTCTTAGAGACCACAGCAATTTCACTAGCGCCTCAGCCGAACTGATGAAGAGGGAATCCAATGAATCCCCATGGTCAAGGTATAAGACGCTCTTTGATTCTTCCTTTGCTTTACTACCTGATTTTTGTTGTTTTTTACTGCGATACAGAGGTTTGTGGAAAAAGGATTTTATTCGTTTCATGTTGTGTCTCTAGAACATGGAAAAAACGACAATAGCCAAAACTTGGGCTGAGTAAAGATTCTGAGATTGTTTAAGTACCAAGACGTGATCATGAAGGGGTTAGCTCCTTAAGGCTGACTCAGGAACCACTAGCACAATATCGCAGCCAAAAGCCGACGCTCAAAGTGACATCCACTGCCGTTTTCAGGTAGTGAACATCTTGACGTCGGCCTTGATGACCACCTCTTCATCGAAAATCAACTTCACTGCCGTCGTCAACATGCTCGTTCCACTACTACTCGATCCCAAAAGAAGAGTTCGGTAAGTATCCAACCATAGGAAATACTGCGAGTTAAGTCGCTTAGTTCACGCCTCTCATTTTTTTAAAAACAGTCAAAATTCATTTTAATATAAACTAAACTGTGAATAAGTCAAGATAATTCTTTGCACAAGGAAAACTTTCCGATTTGAATTGGTCTTTCTGAATGAGTTCTGGGGCTGCTAGCTTGGTAACTATTAACCGTACAGGTCGAAAACTGAGAAATTTTCATGTATGCTCCCAGGTTTCGCTACATGATTCATTAAAAGGAAGCGATTACGAAAAGGAAGGACCGCATTGGGAGAGTGCGTGCTCAACACGAAGCAATTGCTTGGCTTCCATGAGAGCGAAATGTGGCGCTTTCACGACGAAAGGTGCCTTGGTTGCTGAGTAGAACTTCCAAAGCACTCCGCCCCGAAAGCGCCACGCCCACTCGCTCATTTTCATGTTGGAAGATCATTTTCCTATTAGCGTCAGTATCTTCCAACTTGCCCGTGGAATGCCTTATCAATCAAAGCACTATGCTTCTTGCATGATGGCGGCTGCCGACATTAACACGTTCGAACAACTTCTTCCTCTGTCGCCGCTTTCATGGTGAATATAAACGGGCACATAACTTTGCGTATTTTGACGGTTTTCTCTGCTTTTTTGCCATTGGGATACTACTGAGCACCCCCACGTCCCCTCTAAACCCTTCCAGGATTATCGTAATCGCTGCCTTCGAGCGTAGATGATGCGAACGTCGTTATTCATTGAAGCTGAAAGTAGACGTGGAAGAGGGTTCTCTGGTCAAGGGGATCCCGGAAGAAAACGGCTTCATCCCCTAGAAGTAGAACTCTTTCGCTTTGATTTCCGGTTTGAACGAGCCAGGGACCAAGCCGAGCTCGCTCGCACATGATAACTTTGATAATCGCTAGCATGCCAACAAGTACCATTCCTTCATTGAAACGCACAAGCCAGAAAAAAGTAAAAGTTATGAGGGCCGTATGCTATGCTTTGGGGGAAGGGGGACGCGTCCCGTAAGTCTTATGCTATTCCTCCCCCAAGCTCATTCGGAGAGAGGCCACGCCCGCCGAGCTTCGGGAACGCGTTATCGTTGGGGAAGCATCCCCGAAGGCTTTAGTAGTCGCTGGGGCGCGCACTGTTTTTGCTGGAGCACATTATTCTTTCGTGGGAAATACATACCATTTCACGAGTTGCGCTTCTCCAAAGCGTTAAGGGGGCTATTCTGCAGGTCATCGGCACCGTCGTTGGTGGCTGCACAAGATGCAGTGGGTCATGGGTCCGTAGCTGTGACTGCGGCTGCTAGTACTGGTTCAGCGCTGCGAATAAAGGGGAAGTTCTCTGAAAAGTAGAAACTATGTTTCATTCTATAAAAACTAGAATTCTGCACAAAAAAATAGTGCGTGCATCTTGTGGAAAATACAAACTCATGTATGCGCACCTGTTCACTACGCTTCATGTTTGCATAAGATAGGAAATGCATTTCGCTTTCTTGAGCTGATTTAGTTTGTAGAGTACTGTGCTGTTCGAATATCTGCTAAGTAGTATATGGGTATATGGGGCGTATCGGAAACAGCTCACCCATAGTGCGCGGTAAGGAAATCAGTCCGTAAAGTTGAAGTAAACTACATAGAAGAAAAGCAGTCTTCTTGTATCACCAAAAGATGGAAAAAGGCATTGGGATAGGTAGAAACGGGAAATCACCTTTGAATATGACATGACTAGTCATATTGTGAGATGAAGATAGGATAAAGGGGGTTGAAGGGGCACCGTGGCGCAGAGCGACTCAAGCTTTCAAAACCATGACAGTTCTCATTTTCGTGCTCATCCATTTCCTTGCTTTCACAAGCAACCTGATCTATCCACCACTGGGCTCCTCCATCTGCAGAAATGTGATTACAGCTTCTGCGAAGAACTTTTGTGTTACGACACCCCTACAACTAAACTTGTATTCATAAAAAATATACAATTCATGCCGTCCAGAATCCAATATTGTTTCTCCATCGACTAATAAAACCAAGCGTGGTTAACAGGTATGACTCTTCAAACGCAACCAAATGCTGGGCTTTAAGATCATTTGAACTTCGCGCCGTATAAGCTCTGCATCTTTTCTCCCCGAATGAACTGGTTACAAGGCTTCTGTCAACCAGGGGGTGAGAGTGTAGAAGGAAAAGCAGACGTTTTTATGGTAGTGGGACTGAACTTTCTATAGGAGGTAAAGAAAGCGGAGATTCTGTAATAGTGCGCTTGTGTTAGAGCTTCCAGACACCACAACAAAACGCTGAATTGCCTAACCTCACGGTTGACAGATGTCCGGATACCAAATGAACTACGGGAGAATAGCATACACCCTGCTTTGAGGATTTTCTCCGAAGCAGAGATCTTCCCCCTCTCCGAAAGCATAGCATACGGCAAGCGGCGCAGGGGCGGACCACAGTAAGTGGCGCAAGGACGGACCACGGCAAGCGGCGCAGGGACTGACCACGGCAAGCGGCGCAAGGCCGGACCAGGGTCAACTCTTGCGCGAATTCCAAATTTTTTGCGACCCCTCCCTTTTAAAGGGTATCAGTATGACCCACCCTGTATTTGCTACTGTTATGGCTACTTATGTCCTTTTGCATATATTTTTATGCCCATCGTCGATGTGTGGGCCTTCATCGACATGGAAAGATGGTGCGCAGTGGAGAGTCCGCGCGCTTTGCTCCGCTCAGAGGATGGGATTGAGACAACATGGAATTTTACTCATTGAATAGAAGCAGTTTGATCAAGCAGTGATCGTGGAGACTTCTGCTTTCACAAAGTTTTTCTTTCGAACTTCATAATCACCCCTTTTTATAAACTCAAAAACTAAGCGCGCAGTAATTGCGTCACGATCCGAGTCTCTTTGAAAGGCTATATCATTCACCAGAAGCGACCTCATAGAACGGGATACAAAAATTTAAAAACTTCAAATTGTTTTCTTCCCAAAAGGTAGCCGAATTATTGTGAATGTTCACTTCTTCAAAAAATCGTCCCGTTGTTCCGTTTTGTTAATACGCGAGTTTTCGACATTCAAACATTCATAACTTCCTTCATAATCAATTTTTGCAGATTCTCAAGACTAATTAGAAACTAGAAGATTAGCGCTTTCGGGTTAGTGCTGAAAGATTTAAAAAAATCACACTTTCAAAAAATAGTCCCGTTATTCCTTTTCTTCCCCTTGATTTTCCCCATTTTCCTGAAACGCGACTTTGCAACCCTGAAATGTCCACAATCTTCGCTTTTTTCGAAAACTCTACTAATACGTGAGAAGGGATGAAACTATTCGAATGCTGCCATATGACAAAGTCGCCCTTCACTAACGCCATAATGCACAATTTGATTCAAAGCTTTCTTTTTGGCCTGAACTTATTTGAGCGCGGTCCTCTAGAAAGGTCAACTCCAGCAAAGTTTTTTTCTATCTGTAGATTGTTCCTGAAAGCAATCGGAGAATAACTTTCAAGGAAAAATTGTGCGCTCCAACTGGCCGCTGACACGATAAAAAGCGTTTTCGAAGTGAAAAAAGCATTATGCTCGGGTAAACTGTCAGTGGCACTGAGCTGGTCTGTCTGCGATTAAGCCAGTCGCACATAAGCACTTTGAAAATGTCCTCCACTCCCGTCGAGATTAGTAGTTTGCGTATGAACTGTCTACGATGAAATCCCTGTTTTCTCGCATTGCATTTCATAACAGCGGAATCCTTGTGTACACGACCGTCACTCGCCAAGAGGTCAAGGGCGTGCGTGATTGAGGAAAATCCTAGCAACAAGGCTCAAAGGGGGGGAGGTGCGTATTGGCACCGGCTGGCAAGGAGATCGGGCCCAGATTGAATGCAGTAGGATCATGCCACGCCGTTGGAGTCAACCGATCAAAGGATACGCAAGTCATAACTGCCAGAACCTGAGAGAATTTCACAATAAGCAGTGTATTCCGCCGTAAGTAATACCATTTTCGAAGCAAGAAGCGCCAGTCCTTCAGCGTCAAGTTCATAAGCAATGCTAACCCTATTACTGTTGAGGATAGGCCAAAGTAAGTTTAACAGTGTCTTGGAAAGGGCTCACGATCTGCTCCTACTTCAGTAGTATAGTCGCCCACTGAAGGACGTTATGAATCGACGTGGCAACTAAAGCGCAGTGCGCAGCGAATAGAAGCACCTTCGTCGGCGATACTGCGAGCAAAAAATCCTCGACGTGGCCATTTTTATTTTAAAAAACAGTGAACGTATTTAGCATTTTCTAGTAAACTTTTCGGAGACATCGCTTTGGAAAGCGTTAAAACTCACACTCATCTCGAATTCTCCTCTTTAATTTTACAAAAATCCTCAACGTGGCCATTTTTTAAATAATGGACGAATGAAGTTGTTTTAGTAACCCTTTGATAGAAGAAATCTTCTAGTTTTGTCTGCCATATTAACTTTTCAGATATCGAAAATGAAGCAAGTTATGGCTTCGGAAAGTGTGAAAACTCGTGCTCATCATGAATTTTCCTTGTTTTGATCTAAATTTGTTATTTCTTATGAATTTTTGTATTTTCAACAATATTTGGAAAGAGCTCTTTGCAGTATTTCCAAATCTGCTTTCAGATTGAAAAATTCGTCGTATTTGAAGAAGGTTATAATCATTTGAATATGTGTTCAAATTTCAATATTAGATAAGCTGCTCCGAGGCCAACGCCTGAGATCAGTCAACAACGGCTGGCTAAGGTGGCTACAAAGCCACTTGCACTGCAACGGGGATGTGTAGATTGAAAACCACACCCTGCCATTTTTAGTGATTAGTTTGTCGTTTTTTGCTCCTTTTCTCGTTTGCTCGTTTGATGGGCCCATCATTAACACATTGACGACCGCGCGCGTTTTTGGCTTTTTTTGGCCGTGTGGGACCGGGCCGATTTTGCTAGTGCGACCGCCGCACCTCGGACCCGTGAATTTTTATCGATAACTTTTTAAAGTACCAGCGGTACAAAAACATCTCAGCAACAGT